CATCCCCAACAGTGAGAAAGCTGACTTCCATCCACTATCTTCAATATCTTTTTTTTTCATTTTCTCAAATCTAGAAGGGAGAGGTTCTCTTTTATTTGCTAGTGCAAAAGCAAACTACATGAAATTATTTTTATAGTTATATTTAGCTATATTTTATAAACATTGAAATGCACAAAAATGAACATAATCCAGTAAATTTTGACAAGATGTTCAGCTTCATAATCCACACACTTTGCCAGATATACATAGTGTGAGTGTGTGTGTGTGTGTGTGTGTGTGTGTGTGTACAACGTTAAGTCATATCCCACTGGCACAGGAGGAGATTGCCCCTCCTTCCCTCCTTCTCCAGTGGAGCATCTGGTGGGGTTTGAACTGCAGGCCTTTGGGATTGCAGCACAGCTTCTTGCCTTACTAGGATATCAGACTCCCCTAAGATACACAACTTTAAGAATTACCTCAGAAAGTTCCTCTCCTCAATCAATCATCATTTTCCCAATAAGGCAGCAATTTTCCTTCTTTCCTTTTAAAAATTAGATTTTAACAAGATTTTTCCTTCAGAGGAAAAAAAATTAACTTTGCTATTTCTTTGTCAGTGGATGTTGACACATGATGTATTATTATTTTTCAGAGAAACTAGCATATGTAATGTTTCCTTGAACCAAAATCAAATGAAACTGTTTTCAAGCCTACAGTGTTACCTAAGCCTGGATTCTGCTGATGTCCTCTCTTACACTACATGCATTGGTTCACTGTAGTTCATCCACACTAAATGCCTTTTACATGCCTAACAACTCCAAGTTTTTATTCCACTTCAATTATTTTACACTTCCTGTTTCCTGTGTTAGAACACTTCTTAATCTTTAATTGTCTGGCTTTTTCTCAGATTTCAGTAAACCATCACCAACTGTGATTTATTAACTATACTAAGGCATTTGACTGTGTGGAAAATAACACATTATGGCTAACATTGGAACAAATGGAAATCCCATGACATGTAATTGTACTCAGATGAAACCTATACCTACACCAAGAAGCTCTTAAGCAAACAGAACAAAGGAATACATGGTTTAAAATCAGAAAGGGTTGTATACTTTTTTCATATGGATTCAATCTGTATACTGAGCAAATTATTCAAGAAGCAGAATTCTATGAAGAAGAATGTGGCATTAAGATTGGCGGAAGACTCATCAACAATCTACATTATACAAATGACACAACTTTGCTTGTTAAAAGTAAGGAGGATATGAAGCGCTTGCTGCAGAAGATCAAGGAATCAGCCTTTGGTAGAGATTACAGCTCAACATTAAAAAAAAATAGATCCTCACCTCAGATGCAACAGTCAGCATTATTATAGATGGAGAAAAGATTAAAACTGTCAATCTTTTCGTCTTGTTTTGATTAACAATCAACACCTTTGTTACCAACAGTCAGGAAATCAGGAGATGCTTTGCCCTGGGCAAGTCTACTGTTGGGACCTCTCCAAAATGACGAAGAGCAATGTTGTCAGTGCGAAGGCTAAGGGGTGCCTTATTCAGGACATACATAGTCTTCTTAATCGCCTGCTAAGCATCAGACAGCTGGACAGTGAAGAAGGATGATGGAAGAATTGATGCCTTCGAGTTGTGGTACTGGTGAAGAATATTGAATATTCCATGGACTTCCAAGAGAACAAAGAGAAATGTTTAGGAAAAAGTGAAACCAGAATGCTACTTGGAGGCAAAGATGGCCTTTCAATACTTTAGACATGTAGCTAGGCATGGCTATTCTTTGGAAGGGGACATCATGTTTTGAAAAATAGAGGATCAGCAAAAGAGAGGAAGACCCCTAACATGATAATCGATTGACATGATAACTTCAGGAATAGGCTCTACTGTATCAGAGATGATGAGGATGGCACAAGATAGGGTAGGGTTCAGGTCAGCTGTTCATATTCTCACTATAAGGAGCACTTAACCAGATGGCACCTAACAACAAATGTGAGAGAGATCATCCTTGACTACTTTAAGTACTTGATGTTGTTCATCAATTTTCCCCAAGTAATTCAATGTCATTTCTTGTATTTGCTATGTAGCCATACTCACACTCCTAAAATGATTTATGCATGTCTTTACCGCTTAGCACCTGGCTAGGTGCCAAGCACTGTTTATCTGGTCTTTCTTATTGCCTAGAATAATGTCTGGGGAGTAGTGTGTGTTGTGGGAAGAGGGGATAAATTAATAAATATTTGATGGACAAACAAGTGATTTTTATTTTATTTTATCAATTTTAATGAAAATTTACAGACTTTGGATTTCCACTTATTCATTGTTTCACTTTTCTCCCTGCCCACCCTACCCCCAGTCTGCTCTGCTCTTTAAAAAGTAAAATTCTTTCATTGTTATATAATTTAACCCATCTTTTTCAGTCTCCCCCCCAACCCTGATGTAAATCCAGTTTTACAACAGTGGAACTATGCAGTATTTGTCCTTTAGTAACTGAGATATTTCACTCAGCCTAATGTCCTCCAGGGTCACCCATTTTGAATAATATTTCATGATATTTCAATCATATTTAAACAATATTTCCTTGTTTTTCAATGCAGCATAGTATTCCATTGTGCGAATATACCAGAGCTTCTTTATCCACGAATTTTATACTTTAGTTTAAAGTACTTTTATGATATTACTTCTTCACTCCTTATGAATTTTGAAGGCAAAATATTCCTTATACAACCATTAATGAATATGAATGAGTCCAGGTTTCTTTACCCTCACTTCCTTTCACTTTTCTAATGAGCAAATATATAACAAAATTGTCTTGTTTTTCTATACCTCCAGGTAAAGAGTGATGACTCTTTTACCCAAGTAAAGATTGATTTTTTTTTTTAAAAAAAGATTGGTTTTTAAATCATTACTTGGGAAAAATATTTTCACTTTGAAATATTTTTAAGGTTTACCATTTTATCTTGCACCACACATATGCCAAGTAGCTGTGCTATGTGACACCAAGTTGATTCCAAGATAAAGGACTTTGTGAATCAGAGGATGGCTTTCCTAGGCTACACTCCTTACAGGAGTAAATCAATAGGCCTTTCTTTTCTCTTACAAGGTGGCTGGTGAGGTTGAACCACTGATATTTTGGTTAGCAGCTAAGCACTTACACAATTATGCCGTTCCAGCTCCACAAAAGGATAGTACTGTTTCTTCTCAGAAGTGGGCTTTGAACCAGGCCAGAACTTACTTCACCTGGGGCTTACATAGATACTGATTTCACGTGGAAATAGGTTTGAACAAGAAAGTACCATTAGGAACATGAACTAGGGGCTCTGGAATGTATGCCTCTACTCTGGCAGAATGTGATTTCACATGCAAACAAGATTCTACTGAAGATTATCCAAAAATGACTGGAACAGCACATGAGCAGAGAACTGCCAGAAGCCCAGGCTGGGTTTAGAAGGGGTCGTGGTTCTAGGTATATTGTAGCTAATGTTAGATGGATATTAGGTGAAAGCAGCGAAAACCAGAAGAATGTCTATCTGTGTTTCATTGATTAAGCAAAGGCATTTGACTATGTGGACCATAACAAAATGAGGCTGCCTCTGAGAAGAATGGGAATCCCAGAACACTTGATCATGCTAATCTGAAACCTATACTTGGACCAAGAGGCAGTCGTCAGAACAGAGCAAGGGAACACTGCATGGTTCAAAATTGGGAAGGGTGTATGCCAGGGATGTGTCCTATCTCTGTACCTTTTCAACCTGTACGCAGAACAGATTATCCGAGAGGCTAGGCTCTATGAGGAGAAGTGTGGTGTTAGGATTGGTGGAAGATCCATCAACAATCAGCGTTATGCAGATGACACAACCCTGCTTGCTGAAACTGAGGAGGACCTGAAACGCTTGCTGCAGAGGGTCAAGGACTGCAGCCTTCTGTATGGCTTGAGGCTCAATGTCAAGAAGACAGATTCTCACCACTAGACCAATTGGCAGCATTAGGATGGGTGGTGAAGAGATTGAGATTGTTAACAATTTTAGTCTGCTTGGCTCGCTCTTGGCACCAGTAGCCAGGAAATTAAAAGACGTATTGCAATGGGAAAGTCTGCTGTTAGGAACCTCTCTAAAGTACTGAAGAGGAATGGTGTCACTCTGGAGACTAAGGTGCGTCTGATACAGGTTATGGTCTTTTACTATCACTTGTTATGCATCAGAGAGTTGGGAAATTATGATTAGGGAGGATAGAAGGAGAATTGATGCCTTTGAGGTGTAGTGCTGGAGAAGAATATTGAATGTATCATGGACTGCCAAGAAAACAAACAGATTCATCCTGGAGAGGGTTAAACAGGCTGCTCCATGGAGGCATGGATTCTGGGGCTTCGTCTGGCACACTTTGGGCATGTTGTAAGGATGGTTAGGTCCTTAGAGAGGGACATCATGCTGTGTAGAGTGGAGGGACAGCGCAGGAGGGGAAGACCCTCTATGAGGTGGATTGATTCAGTGACTGGGATAATCCGGATGAGTGTGTCAGAGGCAGTGTGATTGGCACAGGACAGAGCAGGGTTTAGGGCCGTTGTACATAGGGTCTCTCTAAATCGCAAGCGACAACAAACTCTGTGACAAACACACCTGTTCTTTTTTCACCAGAACAGTTAGAAACAAGCCATTGTGTTTGGCTTTGTGTTTATCTCCTTGTTACTCTGAGGCATTGAGGTGGAAAAAGTGTTACTTCACATTTAGATTTATTATTGCCCTAATGCAGTTCACGGATTTTCAGATATGGCTTTAAAACATCTTGATATTGGGATAAACTATCAGAAGCATTCACAGGAATTTATTGATGTGTTAGTCAAAGTATTTCAGGGAAGACTATGACAAATAATTGGCAGCTTTATAAATGAAAACCCAATGTTTAAAATTCAGTAGCAATGATTATGTTTTTCTTCATTGGTTTATAACAATAGAAACGGGATCTGTCAGAAGAGGGAACATGAATTGATAAATTTGTTCGTGTGTGTTTGTTTCTAAGGAGCATAGCAGCCACTGATCATGAACCAACAGATGCCAGGAAATCCTTCCCTTGTTTCGATGAACCCAATAAAAAGGCAACTTATAACATATCTATAATCCACTCCAAAGATTATAGTGCACTTTCAAATATGCCAGTGGAGGTGAGTATTTTTGAATTTTTTTTTATAGATAATCTACCTATAATGGTTTTCTATGAATACCCTAAACTTGAAAATTAAATGTGCACTGAGAATTTGTTTAGAGAATTAAGAATACATTTGAAATTTCTTTCTCTCTCTCTCTCTTTTTCTCTTCCCCTTGAGTCTAGAAATCTTTAACGCAGGACACCACAGTCCAGTTAAAAGGCTATTTTGAAATGACTAAACAATAGTGAACACAATAGGTTGACATCAGCTAAACCCAATTGAGCAGGAAGATTCTTATAGTTATGATGGTTTAATGGAAAACTAATGGAATTAAGTTATTAAAATAGTTAAGAACTTAGTTACTATTCATTATATTAAATAAAACCCCAGTTTTAAAATATAGACCTATAGCTAACAAAACAAAATAACAACAAAAAAATGTGAACTCTGTGCATAGAAGTCAACTCTACAGAACACCATGTCCTCCAATTTTCTAATGAGCAGCAAGTGTTTGAAAAAAAAAGTAATAGCAATAACAATAACACTAGAAATTATATAGAAATCATAGTAATAGCAGTAATTGCATAGAAAGAATAAATTATTCCTATAATGTGTCAAATGCAATAATGGTTACCTAACAAGCTTGGAAGCAGAAGTGGCATCCACTTCCAAAATAGCTTACCTCCGGAAACTGTGAACGTGGAGAAATGATGAAAGTTATACAAGTATTTAGGTCTTTCATTCATAGGATCACTATGAGTCATATACGAATTGACAGCACTTAACAGTAGCAACAACAATGTATTTGCTCACTGTGATGGTAGGCTTTTTTTAAAAAAAAATCCTGTTTTATTGCTTCTCCTCCCTACAATGGCTAATGTATTAAAGTACCATTCCCAACAGGTGAGGTTCTTTATACCTGATACAGTTGACTTAGTGATCAGGGTTATATTAGATATTGCCAATTATCTGATAACAAAAACCATCTTGCTTATTCATATCCGCTAACTAAAGTATCATGTAAAGCTCTCTCTTTTCATTATAAAGATTCTTTAAAAAAAAAAAACTGGGGAAAAGTCAAACAACTCAAAACTTAAGGGCTAAAAAAGAAACTATTACTGGCGATCTGTGCCACAGTGTGAAATAGCTAGCTTGTTTTCTTCTGGTGTTTGGTACCTGAGAAATTGAACTTTGATTGGAGAAAAAGAGTAAAGCATAAAAAAATTATAACACAAGAGTCTGGGAGACTAGATCAAAACAATGTGTCACTGGAATATTTTGACATGGATTGGATGGTAGTAAAAATGAGAAGAGAAAGGAAGCAAGCTTTGCCAGCTTCTGCTCAAGACTTCTCCACATGACCTTTTCATCTTGAAGATTGCCTTTTATTAGATGTTCAATTCTTTATCCAAATAATAGTCCTGGGAAAAGGAGAATCTTCTGAGTTATTGGGAAGCCAAAACAAATAGTCCTAGGTTTTTATCGATGAGGAACTTATGTCACTGGAGCCCCAACACATATTACAAGCACATACACAACCATGCCTGCCTTGTCAATCAATTATGCATAAACCTAGTTCAACCTCCTTTTAAAAATAAAAAGTAACTTTTTATTGTGATTTTGGTGAAAGTTTACAGAAAACTTAGATTTCCATTTATTCATTGTTGCACATTTCCTCTCTATCCCGCCTTTTCTTTACACCCCTCCCTCCCACCTATTTTTTTTACAGTTTCCTTTTGCTATAATGATACTTAAAGAATGACTCCAAAGGACATTGTTGTTGTTATTAGGTGCCATTGAGTCCAGTATGACTCATCGCAGCCCTATGAAGAGCCGATCTGAACCCTTCCCCATCCTGTGCCATCCTCATCATCTCTGACACAATAGAGCCCATTCTGAAGTCTTCTTGTCACTCCATCTTGTTGGGGTTCTTCCTAGCCTTTGTTGTCCCTCCATCTTTCCAAGCATGTTATCTCTTTCTAAGAAATACCCTCACTTATCTCCATGGGGTGTTGACACACTTAAACAGTGGTGGCAGGAGACGAACAGGTAAGTATTCAAAGTTGAACTATTAAAATTGTTGATTGACAAGAGGAAGGCACAACTGACATGGGCAGGAAATAATTTTAGAATGGTCGCATCAGGCAATGGAGTCTTTCTCTCTCCATAGTAGCCATAAGAAATGGTTTTAATGACCATACCATGATACTTTTGTGTAGGCAAACAGAAATGGGAAAGAGAAAGCAGTATCCTAATACACCTCTTTCTCTCCTACCTATTGTCAAATTGACAATAGCAAGTTAGTTCTCGAGGAAGCTCTACTGACCCAGTGGGTAAGAAGTTGCACTGCAAACCAAAGACATATTGCTCAAATCTACCAGCTACTACTCCCTGGGAGAAGATGGGCACCCACTGGTGGGTCAGCTACGAATTGGTTCTGACTTGACTGCACATTAACACGTTGCAGCACACTTTTTAAACTGACAACTATGCTTAGAAACACATTTGCCGTCATTTGCAGCAACCTGTTAACAATAACTGCAGCAGCTCATTCTTGCAATGTGCCCAGCATTGAGCACTAATCTATTTTTTCATTAATGGATCTTGGTATACTCTAAAATGTTGTAATTAATTAGGATCATGTATTCCACAGAAAGAAATTCCTTTCCAGGAATTATGTTATATCAGAATCACATTTTAATCCCCTTGTTGTTGTTGTTGTTGTTGTTAAGTGCCATCGAGTCGCAGGCGACTCATAGCAACCCTATGAAGGAGAGCCCTCAACATTTTAATCCCCTTAGAGTTTCCTAAAATGGAAAATGGATGGAAAATACTTCACAGTGCTTAAAATGAAATTCTCTTTCTTCAGTCTTTTCAAAATCATCTTTAAAATGGGTGTTGGTTTTGAGTTTTGGATTTGTTTGATGTTTTTTGTCTCTTCCCTAAGCTTTGACAAAGGACTTCAAACTGTAAGACCAGGTTTGAAACAAATGTTTCTTTGTTTTGTCTGTGGTAGATCTTTTTGAGGAATAACAAATTATCCTTTGTTTTTCATAGAAAACAGAATCCATAGATGACAAATGGAATCGAACTACATTCCAGAAATCTGTTCCCATGAGCACTTACCTTGTATGCTTTGCTGTCCATCAATTTGTGGCTATAGAGAAAACATCAAAGAGCGGAAAACCTGTAAGTTACACTGAATTTTTAAAATTTATCATTTGTCTATTTGGTATTAAATCATTTTCTCCCCTTTAAAAATTCTTCATCTGCAGAGCAGCCATTTCCAAAAAGCCCATTAGAGACCAATGATGCACTAAACAGGATGTTGTTGTTGTGTGCTGTCAAGTAACTTGCGACTCATAGCAACTTTATACAACAGCTCTGAAACCTGCTCTACCCTGTGCCAACTTTTCTGTCTC